AAGCGATCTGCCTTATTTGTAACCAGTCTGTTCCTGTACTAAAGGAATATAATATCCGACGTCACTACAAGATAAAGCATGCAGGATTTTCGCAACACAAAGGTGATGCGCGAAAGAAAAAGACAAGGGAGCTGCTGGCTAAACTTCGTTCTCAGCAAGAGACTCTTTCACGGCCCTCAACAGCACAGAACAGAGCGACACGGGCCAGCTATGAGATTTCTGCACTAATTGCCCGGACAGGGAGATCGTTTTCAACTGGGGAATTCCTTAAGAATCAGAAATCAGAAAATTTTTTAATTGCAATTGTTAGTGAACAAACAATTCACAAACTAGGAACTTGCTTCGGTACTAATGTGCTACATATAACATGAATAATATAATTAAAAAATAGAATAAAGTAGAATAAAATATAATAAACAAGCATAAAACTTTGCTCTAAAAATGGCAGGTAATGGTAACATGGCCGATAACGTGACGTTATGTCAAGTACAGCAGACGAACATGGTTGTGTGTTTATAATCTATTCACAAGTCTAACGGCAGATGGAAAGAAGCTGTTCTTATGGTGAGAGGTTCTGGTCTGGATGGACCGTAACCTCCTGCCTGAGGGAAGCGGCTCAAAAAGTCTGTGACCCGGGTGCGAAGGGTCAGCTGCTATCCGACCTGCACGCCCCCGAGTTCTGGAGACGTACAGGTCCTGGAGAGATGGAAGGCTGCAGCCAACCACCTTCTCAGCAGAGCGCACAATGCACTGCAGTCTGTGTTTGTCCCTCACCGTGGCTCCAGCATACCACACAGCGATGGAGGAGGTGAGGATGGACTCAATGATGGCCGTGTAAAACTGCACCATTATCTGGGCCGGCAGCTTGGCCTTTTTCAACTGCCGCAGAAAGTACATCCTCTGCTGGGCCTTTTTGATCAGGGAGCTGATGGATGGCTCCCACCTAAGGTCGTGTGTGATGGTGGTTCCGAGGAAGCAGAAGGAGTCCACAGTGGTGACGGGGGTGTCCGTCAGGACGAGGGGGAGAGATGGGGCTGTGACTTTCCTGAAGTCCACAATCATCTCCACTGTCTTCTGAGCATTGAGCTCCAGGTTGTTGCTGCTGCACCAGTACACCAGCCGTTCCACCTCTCTCCTGTAGGCGGACTCATCACCGTCAGAGATGAGCCCGATGAGGGTGGTGTCAACCGCAAACTTGATCAGTTTAACGGAGTCATGGCTCGAGGTGCAGCAGTTTGTGTACAGGGAGAAGAGCAGAGGAGAAAGTACACAACCCTGTGGAGATCCTGTGCTAATAGTCTTAGCGGTGGAAACATTCTTCCCCAGCCGCACGCACTGCCTTCAGTCTGTCAGGAAGTCAGTGATCCACCTGCAGGTGGAGTTGGGTACGTTGAGCATGGAGAGCTTGTCCTGGAGCAGAGCAGGGAGGATGGTGTTGAACGCAGAGCTGAAGTCCACAAACAGGATCCTAGCGTAGGTTCCCGGGGAGTCCAGGTGCTGCAGGATGAAGTGGAGGGCCAGGTTGATGGCGTCGTCTACAGACCTATTAGCTCTGTATGCGAACTGCAGAGGGTCCAGGAGGGGGAAGGTGAAGGACTTGAGATGAGGGAGGACCAGGCGCTCAAAAGACTTCATGACTACAGACGTCAGCGCCACAGGCCTGTAATCATTCAGTCCAGTGATACGGGGTTTCTTAGGCACAGGAACAATGGTGGACAGCTTAAAGCAGGCTGGAACATGGCAGGTCTCCAAGGAGATGGTAAAGATGTCCGTGAAGATTGCAGACAGTACCTCTGCACAGTGTCTCAGGGTAGCGGGGGAGACACCGTCCGGGCCCGGGGATTTCCGTGGGTTTTGCTTACGGAAAACCCTGAGCACATCCTCTTCTGTCACTGAGATGGTAATTGAGGGGGATGGGTGGTCAGTGGGGACTGTTCTATTCACAGTGGTGAAGGTGGTGGGGGAGGCATGTGACACCAGAGTGGCTGAAGAAACCTGTGCAGTAGGGGGTGTGGGGGATGGGTGTTGCATTTCAAACCTTGCATAAAAGGAGTTAAGTTGTTCAGCCAGTTGCAGATCGTCAGCAGCATGTTGGGCCCTAGGCTTGTAGTTTGTGATTTGCCTGAGCCCTCTCCAGACAGAGGTGGTGCCATTGTTAGAAAACTGCTCCTTTAGTCGCTTGTTGTACAGAGATCTCGCCTTCTTCAGCTCTTTTGAGAACCTGTACTTAGCGCCCTTATAGCTTTCTCTGTCCTCGGCTCTGTGGGCTGCTTCTTTCTCTCTCCTCAGCTGTCTCAGTCTGGGTGTGAACCAGGGCTTATCATTGTTAAAAATGTCCCTGGTTTTTGTTGGAATAATGCTGTCCTCACAGAATTTTATGTATGACGTCACAGTGTTGTAATTTTCTCCTGCTTGTTGTTGTGTTTACTGACGAAGTCACTCGTGTGACTTCGTGCTCGGTCGGTGACAGCTGCTCCCCTGCTGCTTCGCGTCTCGTGGGAAGGGCCAAGCAGCAGCTTACGCGAGCAAGACGTGCTGCTGCAGTAACGTGCTGCTGACGGATCCCATGGAAACCCGGGGTTAGCGTGGACAGCTGCTTGAGTTTCAGTGCGACTCTGAGCTAAAGAATAAGTTCATGTCACTAAACCTGAAAGACTTCTACACACGTCTCATCAGAAAGGTACCCAGACATTAGGAAACATGCACAAGTCATGTTATCTTTGTTTGGCAGCACAAACATGTGTGAACAGACCTTTAGTGTGATGAACCTAACAAGTCCAGGCTCAGAATCACTCTGACTGACCCACACCCACAGGACATCCTCACCCTCTCAGTGAGTCAGCTGCAGCCTAATGTAGAAAAGCTGATAAATGCCAAAGAACAGCCTCATGTTTCTCATCAGTAGTGCCATTTTAACGTTGCTGTCCCTGTTGTTGTGTTACTGTTGGGCAGGCATTCTGATATTTTACACTACGAATGATTATAATTACAGACAGAAGTTCTATTTTTCTTTTCGAAATACCTATATGTGACATTTGTCATCTTTTGGTAAGTGTTCTTTACAGAAAAGTTAAATAAATATTGACTATACTTTACTACTATTTGTATTTCTTTTTTTTCTTTCAAAAATGTTATTACATTTGGCCTGCAGCCATCTAATAGATTTTCATTTTGGCCCTCTGAGGGAAAAAGTTTGGGCACCTCTGGATTAGAAGGTTACAAGAGAAGTAAGCCACCAAAGACATCAGTCAAGCAGCAGAGAGAGCTTCCAGGTGGTTATAGATCAAAAGGGGTTATCCATGGTTTAGTGTGCTGCTTACGGTTCGGGTTGTTCTGGGTAAGGTGCCCAGAACATTAGATGACCACGGGTTCTTCACTGACGATGTGGCCAAGTTGCCCATTTACTCAGGTAGGGTATCTTTGCCCTGCTTGAGGAGTCAGCCAGTCCCCCTGTATAGTTCCTTTAACTGACCTGGTGCCCTCAGCTGACTGCCTAAAAAGTCATTCTTAGGTCTCTGCAACAACCAGTAGCTGGAGCGAATCTGAGAGTTCATGAATATCGCTCAGAACTCAATTGATTGTGTCTGATTGTTTCTGAATGTACTGTATTTATTTTTAATAACAAGTTTCTATTTTTCTTTGCAGCTGAGAGCTGTCAGCTGGTGGTGAGGGTGAAGGTCACCCCTGTGTGTGTGTGTGTGTGTGTGTGTGTGTGTGTGTGTTTCCCAGATGTTGTTGTCTAAGATAGCCTTTTAATTAGCCTCCCCACTGGTAAGCCTCAGCTGCTCCACACGACCATTTTTATTTTGCTTTTTAAAACCATTCAGCTTTCCTTACTGAACCTTTTGCACATGCTGGACCATCTCCTGTCTACTGTGACAAACCGACGGGCTGATTCAACATTTAAACACAGGAGCTGTTGGCTTAAACACATTTTAAAATGTTTTTGGTAAACTAGCCCTACCCTCTTACTGCCACACAATCTAAAACAGCTTTTGCTTTAAATAACATGAGATTTTAAAGATACAAATTGGATTAAAAAGCTAAAAAAAAATGTAAAAATTAAATGAATGAAAAAACTCAGTTTCTTTGTTAGGATTGTTATCTTTGGACGCATAAAAAAAGAAAAACACCACACATCTTGGAAAGTCCCTGAATAGTTGGTGCCAGTTTTCCACCTAGAAACATACATCATTTTTACATAACTGACAACCAGACTAACTCCTGTTAGCATTATTATCGTGTCCCTTTAAAGACTTCCACTCAAGGAGAAGTCACCATCGAGGATAATTGATGGATTCTTTATGTTTACTTGGAGCTCAGATTAACATCACTGAGAACACCATTAGTGGTTCTGACTGTGGGACTGCCGGGGAGACCGCTGAAGCGACTACAGAAAGAAAATAAATGAGAGATGGAGAAACAAACAAGACATAAAGCCATCAACTGAAGCTTCCCTGACTGCCAAAATAACTCCACCCCCACCCACACCTTTACTGGTGGAACTGGTGTCCCAGTGTGCTGGGGCAATGCTGAAAGATTTAGTCGGCATGAATAAATCTCTGTTTATCAGCAGAAAAACACAGAGACTGAGGAACTGTAATAGTCGTCTGAACACAGCACAGAGGTGTGTGTCTGAGCATGTACGAGCTAAAAGCTGGACAGGAGCAGAAACACACATCAGCCTGTCGGGGGTTGTTTCCTGTGTTCAGTGTGTCACTCATCCCTCACACCTGCTTGTCACACCAGCTGTTACTCATTCATCAGCCATCAACACCAAGACAATAACTCCTAGTTTACCAGATTCCACTGGGCTCCAGTCAGGTTTCTGCTCTCTGAGTTGTGTTAGTAGAGTTTTTCCAGCCCCTGTAAAAACTACATGAATCTGCAAAAACCTTTAATTTTCTCATTTAAATCTGGAAAATTTGAAACAGGAGTAACAAAAGAACAGTAAAACCGGACGTTTCTAAAAATGACGAAGTAAACGGTGAGTCAGCTACCATTTTGGATGGGGCCAGGATCAGGATGACATAGCGAACCTCGCAGCAGTTCTCCCCCCAGTTCTGTGGCCTCTCCAGACGGGAGATGCACACGTGACGCCTCTGGAGATGCTTCACGTTGCAGCTGGAAGGAAGAGGTTTTTCCAAATGTCAGTGCCTCGCCTCACCAGCATTTCCACAGATTAACCTCTTTCTGTGGAGCAACCATTAGTCGGCCATATGCATACACACAAGTCCACCAGGACACACACATACATAACTTGGTTTGAAACATTGGGTGATTTTTAAAATGCCACAAGAGTCAGTGAGAAACAGAGAAAAAGCAGCAATCCATACAAATGTGATGTTGACTGTGTCTTTGTGTCAGACTGAGCATTAGTTAACTTCCTCTTTTGCTCTTATCATAATTACTGTGAGGGAGAGAAAGTTAAGTGACTTGAATTTTAATGTGCTGTTTGGGACTAGATGCATGTGGTTCCTCCTACAATGACACCACCTTTACAACAAATTAATTTAAACATGTTCATCCCATTAAATCCATCATCCATCTAAAAAGTGCTTTTTAGGATCTCCAAGACCCTTGTCATTCATATGTTCATCATCATGTTTGACATCCTGTGGTCAAATGTGCTTACTACAGACCCGTTTTAAAGTTACTATCTCAGTCACAATTCATGAGTTTCATGGCTGTTGCCAGTGTAAGGTTATGAAGTTCATGGTTTTCAACTCCATACAGCTGCCCGGTGCACAATAACAGCACAATAACACCGGGTAGAAAAACCAAGGTCGGGTGTTCCTCAGACTGTTTACATTCCAGGAGAAGAGTTCGAAGGAGAAGAAGAAACTTTACTTAATCAAAGTACTTTATTTGTGATTAAAATTATTAAGCAAAACAGATGTTGATCAACATCTGACTGCGGATCAGAAGATTCTAGGTTCGGCTCCTGGCTGGCTCGCCATATTATGTAACGGAATCAAAGTGATGTAACTATCTAAAGTTGTATTTTAATACACTGTTAGTAGTTCACTTTTTATAAACAGAAGAATAGGCTGTTTTTATCATCAGGGAGTTTAATTAAACACTCTGTATTGACTTTGAGACAGTAAAAGAGAGAGAGATGGGATCGTTTGAGAATCTTTAATTTCTGAATTATAAATTCTAAACAATCTACCAGGACTACTCTGTGATGGATGAGAATGGATTCGGATGTTGTGTTGGTGCGTGTGTGTGAGTGTGTGTGTCTGGTTCAGATTCTCTAGGATGACGTAATCGAATCTGGTCGTCGTTATTATGACTAGATATCACGAGGCTTATAAAGTGATGACATGAGCCGCTATTTTGCCGTGTACGTACCCAGTGGGGTCTCCCAAGTAGATCAGGAATTGCCAGGTCTGGAAACCTCGGATGTACGATGGAGCTGTCGGTGCAGCGATCACAACGTTTCAAAACCCGTCTGGAGGGTCGGCCCGGTACGATTCAGCAGCGTCAGCAGTTGCTCTTATTTTGAAAGGACGTCGTCTGGTTGTTAAACGACGAAAATCTCCCGCTTCACAGTTCTTAGTTTAAAGAAAACGCATCCGGCCAGGCTGCGCTTGTCTTTAGGATGATGGTGAACAGAACTGAAGTCAAAATGGAACTGACTTAAAATGGCGTTGCCTTGTTTTTATATCTCTGACTTGTTGATAAGTTTCAGTAAAGTAGATTGGACACTTGAAGTCAACACCAGATTCTCCTGCGGCAGTCGAAAGCTCTGATTGGTTGGAACAATGTGTCATGCGTTTCTATGGAGATGAGGATCAGTGTGTCTGTGTCGTAGTCCTGGTTTCATTAAACATAATTCATGACATATTTATTTCACAGATCATTCACTTGATTATTGTTGATCAACATCTGTTTTGCTTAATAATTTTAATCACAAATAAAGTACTTTGATTAAGTAAAGTTTCTTCTTCTCCTTCGGACTCTTCTCCTGGAATGTAAACAGTCTGAGGAACACCCGACCTTGGTTTTTCTACCCGGTGTTATTGTGCACAGGGGCCAGCTGTATGGAGTTGAAAACAATGAACTTCATAACCTTACACCAGTCACGGATCAGCATCAGAAGTTTCCAGATGACATGCAAAGACGAGTCATACACAGCAAGTTAAATAGATAAATACATAGTCATATCTGGTGTTATTACTCTTGGGTGTTTTACTTTGCACTTACTATACTTATTACGGTAATATGGCTCCAGCATTACAGGATGTGTTGTTTTGCATCTTGCTGTTAGCTTGTTTTTAAAGTTCTGAATGACTCAAAGGAAATAAAAAGCACCTTTGACTCATCATTCACCTTATATAACACATTCCACTGTAACATTGAGTTGTTGGTAATAGAGAAAGTAGCTTGAGATATTTTTAGAGCTATGTTTTACTTCTAATTCACCATTAGCATTGTTAGCTCAACATTAGCCTCTAGCCTGTTTCACCCGATGTTTGAGTAAAACCTTAAGATGCACTGACTTCTTAGAGGTACAAGTAATAACTTCTTGGTTGCTCCTGTTTACTGGCTTCTGTTTTATAACCAGCTCTGGAGCTTTTTGCCTGCCAGAATAGAGTTACAAATGCCGGCGCTGCAGTATTAGCTCGGTGCAGACTCTGCAACCCAACATGCTCACTGATTGTAAACAAAGACTACATTCCGCTTTTGTTTTTGTTGAAAGGATAAAAGTTGACAACCCCTCAGCCGGCTGGGAATGAAGTCTGTTTCAGTTTAACCTTCCTTCCAACATGACTGACACATTAGACTGTTTAGTGATTATTTGACTTTAAAATACCTATATGTTGCTCCTTTAATAGTCTGCTACAACATTGTAAAAACATTGTAGTTTTGTACTTTTACACATCAAATGAGAAATTAAATGATGGTGATTTTATTAAAACTTCAATTTCAAGACAAAACCATTAGTTTTATGTGCACACACGACCCTAAAGTCACACTTACAGGATGCAGAGCCAGGACTGCTGGTACTGGACCCCAGTGGCTGTGGCTGTCACACCCTGGATTGTCTCTGACAGCAGGTGGACTGTAGATCACAGATGAAGTTCAAGTTAGTTGTAGCTGACTTCACATAATCTTATTTTATGCTACAAATACCTGGGTTCATGCCTATATGGAGCTTCAGTGTCTGAAACTGAAATGTACACAAACACATTTATGCCCCCCATAACACAATTAGACTGACTGACATCATAAAGGCATCTAAAAATAAAAAGAGCCAGTGGAAAGCAGAATATCTCTGCTGGTCTAGGTCTCAGCAGGATGTCTGCATCAGATGTGCGAGTCTGCCTTCTGCTACAGGCTGGGATTCCTGGCTGCACTGTGTGCAAATACCAGCCCATGACAGGCTGATGAGGATGTCCACTGGCCTCACATTTCATTATTCTGGCATCAAACCTCAGACACACAGAGCTCTGCTGCAGCCAGAAACAGGGACCCTCATTATAAATTCACATTAACAATGATGTTATGATAGAGATTTTTTTTAAAGCATACCCAAATATTCAGCATGCTTCATCTTAAGACATGCTCTTCCATCCACACGGCGAACCAGACGAGGTGAAAATATTTGGTATTGTAAGCAGCAGGGACAATCATTTCCACATCATTCTGATTTTCTATGTTGCTGATTTATTTTTTTTGTCTTTGTCTTTCTCTCCATCACTCCCCTTTTCTCTTCGTCTGCCATGCTGTCTCATCAATAAAGTAGCCTCCATTCATGCCAGAAAATGATGGGCGTCACCATGACAACAGTATCACAGTGCTCATAGAGCGAGCAAGGAGAGTAAAAAAAAGGTGGCTGGTGGAGATGAGAAGACAAGAAAGGGGAGAGAAAGAGCATATAGACAAAAGAATGAAAAGAGTGAAGACAAGGAGGAAAAATGAGTTTTAGAGGTGGGGGGGAAACGGAGGGATTTAAAGAGGGAAACCCAGGGAGAAAATAAAAATAGGCTGCTGCTGCTGTTTGGATTGCTGGCTGTAATGCACATAACACACAAGCTTGCAATATAAAGCAGGACAACACCTGTCCCCCTCCAGCTTGGCTGTGTGACCCTCACCATGTAACCCTCATGTCCATGCTGTCTCTGGAGGAGCAGATTGGAGACAAGACCTCCTGAACTTAAAATGAACAAAAGCTTCCTCCCAGTTTCTCTTTAAGCTGAATTTAACATCAGTTTATCTTCATGAAACAAAAGAATAAAGTGTAACAAGAACTTCTATCTTCTCTCTCCTTTTAACTTCTCCGTGTCCATTGGCAGTTTTAAACAGGGGCCCACAGGGACCTGGGCCCCTGTAGAACCGGCCCTGGCCCCTGTTATGGCCCCTGTGCTGAAGAGATCCGAATTTTTTTTTCCCGCGCTGCTTCGGAGACGGGAACTAATGTGCTGCAGCGTTTCACACGGAGCCTTTAGAGCGCAGCACACTCTGTGGACAGAACTGTTTACCCGGTGGATTTTTGAATACAAGATTAAAAATAGTTTAAATGGGACCCGAAGAAATTCTTGAGCACAACTAACGGAAAAGACGCTAAGAGACGAAGGTAAGCAATACAGTTTATTTTCCTGACCTGAGTGTTTTGATCGTAGTCGCGCGTTTCTGTCATTTACTTTTAAGTTCCTAACTGAGTCTATCCACAGTTAATACTGATTAGTTTTTCCTTTGTAACATTAACTGTAAAATAAAAATGAAGTTGCTGCATTTTAAGCCTTAGACACATTGAGATTAGATCACAGTATTCACTTATCTATGACTTTCTCGCAGAACTGACTGGAAGCATCAGCGGCCATGAAAAGAAAAAGGGACATTTGGTCCTTTTTTACCGCTGTTAATAAAGAACAGCGTAGACAGAGAGAGGATGAAAGTCATGAGGGAGCTGAGAAGCAGGATAAAAGAGAGAAGGAGGAGTTGGTTGGAGAGGAACCAGAGAGGTCAGAGGCTGTCCACCCTGAGAGTGAGGAGGAGGAAGATGTAGAGAGTGAGGAGCAAAAAGAGGGACATCTTCTGTCATGTGCACCGTGTACACTACCGTCAGGTTTGTGGGTGTTGAACAACCCCTCTGTGATTGCAGCTCATATTGTGTGTAAATTGCATTTGAGGCATGCTGACTCTGGACCAAAATTTCCGTTGTTTATATTTAATAAATAGATAAAATAAGACTCAGAATTAACTAATTATGACTTTTATTCTCATGCTAACATTTATTTTCTTTCAGATATCAGCAAGTGCAAGGATGACTGTCACGGTGTGCCTCCATCTGCTGTGAGTTTGGTCAGCCCTGTGTTCACAGGTGGGCGTGGCACTCATCACAGCTGTTTGGAGTTCCGCTAATCGGAGCCTCAAGGATTTAAGGAGCGGTATGACTCAACTCCAGCGCTGGTTGATACTCTCATATGGGTAGCATCTAGCCTCGTAATCTGTCCTGGTTCCGTGTCCTGAGCTAATGAGTTTTCGTTCCTGTTCCAGTTTCCTGTCATGTACCACCTACCTTGCCTGGAGTTGTCTCTCGTCTCACCGCTTAAGGATCCTCTGGTCTTCGCTCTCCACGCCTGCCTGCCTGTCCACGCTCAGAACCGTCCTCACCGCTCCAGCCTCTCTCAGTTCGCCTCCACACAACTCCTGGTCTCAGACCGTAAGAACTCTCAGACACTCAGTCAGATTCTCCTGGTTCTCTGGTTCTGGCCTTGCTTACCTCTCCTCTTATCTTTTATAGATTCTGGTCCCGTCCCGTTCCTGTGTTTCAGACGCAGTGCCTTTAGTTCTAGTTTTGTTCTCTTATTCCTGTTCTAAAAATAAAACACTTATATTTTACTTACCGTTTTCTGTTGTGATTCTTCATGTCCTGGGTGAAACACATTACCCACAACATGACAGAATCAACCGGCCAAATGAACACCTCACTGAAGAGTCACTCCCCGCTGCTTTAACAAACACTCTAGCCCAGCATGAAGGTTCCATCCGTTCAGCCCTTGATCAGTTATCAGTCATGAATCGGCGTTTATTCCATCTTGACACATCATACGACAAGTTAGAGAAAGACTTACACCACCTCCTGCCGCTACTTCCGTAGCTTCGCCTCCAGCTTCACTTCCGGTCCAGCAACACGGGGTCAGTTTCCAGGTCACTGAATCACCTCAACCAGAAACTTTCTCTGGCGAACCAGGTAAATGCCGCTGTTTCTTATTACTATGCCATTTGGCTTTTGATAGATTGCCTGATACTTTTGTTAACGATACAGTAAAGATATCTTACATCATCGGATTATTGCGAGGCAAGGCTTTACAATGGGCTGAGGCAAGGAGCCGGCAAGCTAGTTTTTTACAAGGACCGCTTCCAACGTTCCTAGCCGAATTTAAACAGATCTTTGATCAGACCGAATCGCCAGCTGAAATAGCAAAGCAGGTATGGGGTCTCCAGCAGGGAAAGCAGTCAGTTTTAGAATTCACCATTGAATTTCGCACACTCGCATCCATTTCCACGTTAGATGAACCATCCCTTAGAGCCGCTTTTTCACAAGCACTTAACGATAAAATCAAGGATCAATTAGCGTTTTGCCAAGAACCGGAGAACCTTGAATCCCTGATCCAGCTAGCCGCCAATATTGAGAAACGTCTCAAAGAGAGACACAAGACACAGACTTTCAGACCACCCCCTGTTATCGGTTCACCGCAGCGTTTTCACCAACAACCCTCTTCTCCAGTGCACCATGAGGAATCTATGCAGATTGGGTGAGCAGAATTAACCCCTGAGGAGAAGGCTAGACGCCGTTCCCTAGGTCTCTGCCTGTACTGTGGCCAGTCGGGTCACTTGCTGCCAAGTTGTCCGGTTCGACCAAAACCCAGAGCCCATCAGTAGGACCGGGATTACTGATGGGTGGAATTCCTGGAACCCTTAATTCCCGGTGTAGTCTAACGTGTACAGCCTCCTTCCACCAACAGACTGTTTCTACCAGGCACTTGTGGACTCAGGGTGCGAGAGGAGCGTCTTGGATCAAGCTGTAGTAGAACAGCTCAACATCCCCACTATTCCTCTGTCTACCCCATCCGCGCTTCCTCGCTGGATGGTTGTTCCCTCACGACTATAACTCATCGCACTGTTCCCATAAACCTGCAAATCTCTGGTAACCACCATGAAACTCTGAGCTTTTACATTTTTCCCTCTCCTCAGTCGCCAGTTGTGCTGGGTCACGAGTGGTTGGTTCTACACAATCCACAAATCAAATGGAAAAGCGGGTTGGTGTCTGTTTGGAGTCCCCACTGTCTCTCTCACTGTCTCCTTTCACTAAGAACCGTCCTCTGGAACCACCTGATCTCACTGGAGTTCCTGCAGAATATCACAGCTTGCAACAGGTTTTCAGTAAGGACCGAGCATCCTCCCTACCTCCTCATTGCCCGTACGACTGTGGAATCGATCTAGTCCCGGAGGCCATTCTACCTACCAGTAAGCTTTACTCTCTGTCCAAACCCGAACAAGTCAGCATGTCCAACTACATTTCAGAGTCCCTAGCTTCCGGCATCATACGTCCATCCACTTCTCCCCTGGGTGCCTTTTTTTTTTTGTTTCTAAGAAAGATGGCTCACTCCATCCCTGCATTGACTACCATGGTTTAAATCTTATTACTATAAAGAATAAGTGCCTCCTACCTTTGCTATCATCCACATTCAAACCCGTAAATGATGCCTCCATATTCACAAAACTAGATCTGCGCGATGCCTATCACCTAGTCAGAATCCGAGAGGGAGATGAGTGGAAGACGGCTTTTAAAACGCCTCTAGGACACTTTGAGTATCTCGTGATGCCATTTGGACTTATCAACACCCTGGCTGTATTTCAATCCTTGGTTGACTCTGTGCTGGGAGACTTCATTAACAAGTTTGTAACGGTCTACCTAGATGACATCCTCATATTCTCCAGAAACCTACCTGAACATCGCCAACATGTCCGTGCTGTGCTCCAACGCCTCCTCAAGAACCGTCTTTAGGTTAAGGGTGAGAAGTGTGAGTTTCACATCGCTTCCGTCAAGTTCCT